TGCTATGGCCTGTTGTACAATGTGCGTGTGCTAAACATTGTTGAATTTGAATAAAAAATAACCTAGTTGTTACTTTGTATTAGTGCTTAAAAGTTAGACCATTTTGATGCCCAATTATATATCTTCATTTGAATATATGAACATTTTTTGACTGGAATAATAGTTTGTGTGTTATTTTGTGTTCTTTGCAATATATTGGATTAAGGGATAATCCTTTAATTAGCTCCAGGGAGATAAGCTATTGTCTAGTTAATTGGCTTAGGGAGAGACAGTAGTAGATAATGAATTAAGTCTAGGGGTCAATGAGTTAAGAATTACATAAATGGGTTAGTTAGTACTATGGCTTAGTTTAATGGTAACGGGTTTAGTTTATCCGAGTGTCGTTTAAAAATGGCCGATTCGTTCACTTATCTACGACGTTTACTTATTAGACGAGCCGTCTGCTTTCCCGAGATACGTTGAAAAATCAACACACCGTTTACTTATCTACGTCCTTTACGTATTTGACGAGTCGTTTACTTTCCTGAGATACGTTGGAAAATCAACACACGATTAATTTATCTACGGCGTTGAAAAATTAGATGAACCTTTTAATTTCCCGCGAGCCGTTTATCCGATCGGTTAATTTTGATTACGATTATTTACATATGAAGTACGAATAAAAAAGGGGGATATAAAAAATGCACACTCATAGATGATCACCTTACCGTGGTCGTAGTATTATCCATTATCCTATAAACTTAGTATTCCACCATTGACAAATAAATCAAAAATCGGTAAATCACGTAATGTATCTGTTTAAAATCACAAATAAATTAACTAGTCTTCCATATGTACACGTGGTGATAAGTCAAGGTCACAATAGCAGTGCGATAATCTCGCGAGACTGTACATTAGACTGGCGCCAAAAAAGGTCACTGTCGATCTCTATAGACAAGCTGTCGCCCATTTTCAGACAGCGTAATAACTTGATTCGGGGCTTCTGCGCAATTTAGTTGATTATCGGGTACAGGTGTTAAATTTTGGTACTGATTCAAAATCAACATTCCCGAAAAAAGAAAAGGGTTTATAAAAAAAACAAAACATATATTTAGCTATGATAATCTAATAACAAAAACGATTATCATATGTGTGAAATAGCTTTATTTAACGCCCGCTTCCACCGAGTTGATATCGCAGACAATTATCAAATTAGTCACTAATCTCCTCTTAATCTATATTCCCATACACATTAATTACAGAAAATGCCTGTGTATACACGGTATTATGAGCTATTCACCTTTTGGTCAGCCGATTGTTATTTGGAATATAGGATAGAGTTATAAATGAACGTTATTACAGTATAGATTAAATATTTGATTGGTCGAATGCTATTGTTTTATTAATTCACACCTGTGGTCAAGTGCCTGGGTGCCATATGAAACCATGTTTTTGAATATACATGTTCGTAAGTACAGTATGGATTAATTCTTTGATTGGTCGAATGCTATTGTTTTATTAATTCTCACCTGTCTGGGTGCCAGACAAAATCATGCCTTTGAATGTACAGTTGAGTCATAAATTTCCCTTTTTTATTAACATTAATTATTTGATTGGTCGAATGCTATTGTTTTATTAATTCCCACCTGTAGTTACCAGCCGGGTGCGAGTCAGTTCATCCCACAACCATTTCACCTCGGACTGTTTCAAGTTTCAAGTTTTTATTACCCTTGAGTCACAGACTCATTGGGAAAAATCGTCGATTTTTGTTGATTACCGCTCACGACCAGGATTAGTTCACCGCTGTATATTCGTATTGTTTGTTAATTGGCGTTATGATTTTAGATTTTAGGTCAGTTCACCAATGTTTTTGTAGTAAAGTATATTTGTATTGTTTTTATATTTGCCGTTATGATTTTAGATTAGTTCACCGATGTTTTTGTAATAAAGTATACTCGTATTGTTTGTTAGTTTATGATGTCTAACATCATTTATCTTCTTTATAAAAAAGGTATTTTATAATTACATATTGACAGCTTAATCACTCGCCAAAATACATCATGGACTCGACGTATTACCCAATAATCAACTAAAGTGGACAGGGGTCCCCAATCAAGTGAATACGCTGTCTGAGAATGGGCGACAGCTTGTCTATAGAGATAGACAGTGACTTTTTTTGGCACCAGTCTAATGTACAGTCTCGCGAGATTGTGGCACTGCTATTGTGACCTTGACTTATGACCACGTGTACATATGGAAGACTAGTTAATTCATTTGTGATTTTAAACAGATAAATTACCTGGGATGTGATTTACCGATTTCCAATTGTATTATTACCTGGGACCGGATTTACTGATTTTTGATTTATTTGTCAATGGTGGAATACTAAGTTTATAGGATAATGGATAATATATAATACTACGACCACGGTAAGGTGATCATCTATGAGTGTGCATTTTTTATATTCCCCTTTTTTATTCGTACTTCATATGTAAATAATCGTAATCAAAATTAACCGATCGGGAGAAATGAAATGAAATGAAATGGAGTTTAACGTCCTACTGTTCTGCTCCTAACCTGGGCTAATGAAGACGGGCATACGCCATACAGTGTGCTATGAGGGAAATTTTGCCCGGACAGCGGCACTACGGCCTACTCTTATATCGAATTCCAACTGCCAAGGGATCTTTTACGTGCACGCCAATGTGTACACAGGACCTCGGTTTTTCGTCCCATCAGAACGACTAGACAGCTTTCCTTGTCAGGCCCTCCGTCCTGCATCACTGACAAGGGGAAACCACGCCGGAAAATCTGGATGAACTTTCTCGGCCAATGCAGGGATCGAACACCCGACCTCCATAACCGATCGGATAAACGGCTCGCGGGAAATTAAAAGGTTCATCTTATTTTTCAACGCCGTAGATAAATTAATCGTGTGTTGATTTTTCAACGTATCTCGGGAAAGTAAACGACTCGTCAAATAAGTAAAGGCCATAGATAAGTAAACGGTGTGTTGATTTTTCAACGTATCTCGGGAAAGCAGACGGCTCGTCTAATAAGTAAACGTCGTAGATAAGTGAACGGGTCGGCCATTTTTAAACGACTCTCGGAGAAACTAAACCCGTTACCATTAAACTAAGCCATAGTACTAACTAACCCATTTATGTAATTCTTAAACGATTTTTATCAATTATATCATGTGCTAAAGTGACTGCCGAGACAACTGAATTGTTAACTTTATTATATGGAAGACGAGATAAAGCATCTGCAAGGGTATTCTGTTTTCCACTCAAATATTCCAAGGAAAAATCATATGTAGATATACTATTCAAAAAAAGTAGGGGATATTTGATTTTTAAGTGTTATTAAAGTCACCTAATGAAACTGACGAAGAAACAAATGACAAAATGAAATGAAGTTCACATTCATCGATTTATTCCAAATGATCGTTAGACTAAGTAAGGCACAGACTGACCATTATAAGGGTAAAATGATACCCGGGGTCAAACAGCAAAGTTACCACAGCATCACAACCAAGTCAGTAACGGGTAAATCCTCCTCTGTTTGCCAAACAAGCATTGATCCGACGTGGCATACTCCTAATGAGACGTCTAAGGTCATTTTGGTCCAGATTGTCCCATTCCTGTTGCAAGGCAGCAGCAAGTTCTTGGACATTGGCAGGACGTTGTTGACGTTGACGTAACCTCTGTCCAAGCATGTCCCAGACATGCTCGATGGGGACTCAGGTCGGGACTCAGTGCTGGCCAAGGTAATGTGGTGATGTTCTGTTGTTGGAGGTAACCTGTAACGATCCTGGCCCTGTGACATCTTGCGTTGTCATCCTGGAAGATGAAACGGCGGCCATGACGTCGTGCGAACGGCACAACATGGACTGCCAAGATGTTGTCCCGGTAGTACTGGCCTGTAACACGCCCTGCAACAACATGTAAAGCCGTTCTTCCAGCAACAGTGATGCCTCCCCACACCATAACAGAACCACCCCCAAATCGATCATGTCTGATGACGTTAATGTCTTGGAAGCGCTCGTTTCGACGACGCCACACCCTCCTACGTCTGTCCAAAAAATCAACAGTGAACCTTGACTCATCTGAAAACATCACATTGCTCCAGCGTCGATTATCCCAGTGTTGACGATCCCTACACCAACGACGTCTTGCCTGAATGTGATGATCTCTCAAACAAGGGATCACGCGAGGACGTCGGGCGCGAAGTTGACCCTTATGCAGTCGATTCCGAATCGTCTGGCCACTCACTCTCACACCAGTGTCTGTTTGAAGACGAGCGCTGATCTGATTTGCTGTGATGACACGATTTCTCAAGGCCATGGTACGGATAAATCGATCCTGGGCTTGAGTTGTCGCCCTTGGTCGACCTGAGCGTGGTCTGTCCTGTACAGATTGTGTATCACGGTATCTGGACCATAGCCTGCTTATGACAGACTGAGAAACATTCATCGTCCGCGCCACAACCGCCTGTGTTGTGCCGATCTGTAGCATGCCAAGGGCACGTAACCTTTCATTTTGGGTAAACCGACGCATATCAAAATTTGTTTTCTGGTCACTAAAACAATTAAACTGATGTTTCCACCCTGGAATTCAATGCCACAATGACTGTAACATTCAAAGTCAGAGTCGTGCAAATCTTGGGTTGGACCCCCATGATGATCCCAAGCATCACCTGCATTCCATGCGGTAGCTATTGGTGCGTTTGGGCGTCACATGTAACTGGAAATGTTTCTTCTGTTAGGTTCTATAGTGACTTTTTTCGTAGTCATTTGCATATTTTAGTATTATGCCCCCAAATTCAAATATCCCCTACTTTTTTTGAATAGTATAATTCGGCAAGCCAACGATGACCAGTAGCATCGAGTTTAGCAGAAGATAATACATAGGTAAGAGGATTATTATCAGTCTTTACATTGAATTTATTCCCATAAAGGTAATCATGAAACTTTTTACAAACAGCCCATTTTAATCCGAGAAATTCTAATTCATTTGCAGGATACAATCGTTCAGATTTAGAAAGACTGCTACTTGCATATGAAACAACACATGTTTTATCATCCTGAACTTGAAGTAAAACTGCTCCTAACCCATGTGAACTGGCATCAATGTGAACTTCAAAAGGTTTAGTGAAATCGGCATAAGCTAATACAGGTGATGAAATCAATTCCGAAATAAGAAAATCAAATGCATTCTGTTGTTCAGGACCCCAGAAAAATACAGGTGAAATTTTAGCAGATCTTTTCTTCTTAGCAGTGGAATGTCCAACAAGGAGATCAGTTTAAGGTTTCGCTATTTTAGAATAGTCTTTGATGAAACAACGAAAATACCCACAAAAACCCAAGAAACTTCGAATTTCTTCCACAGTTGAAGGAATAGGCCAGGACTTGAAGGTCTCAATTTTATCAGGATCTGTATGAATGCCATCTGCAGAAATAAAGTGGCCAAGATACTTAATTGACGTCTGAAGAAAACTACATTTTGAAGGTTTTAAGCGAAGATTGTGTTGAAGAAGACGTTTAAAACCCGACTCTAACCTTGACATATGTTTATGAAAGGTTTTAGAAAAAATAATGACATTGTCTAAATATATCAAACATTGTAAAAGATTCATATCACCCATACAGCATTCCATCATTCTCTGGAAAGAAGAAGACGCGTTAGTAAGTCCAAACGGCATAGTATTAAACTCCCAAAAGCCGAGAGCACCTGCGGTAAATGCTGTTTTATGTTTGTCTGCCTCGTCCATTTCAATCTGCCAATAACCTGACTTTAAGTCGAGAGAAGAAAAATATTTTGAACTGTTTAATGAATCGAGGGTTTCTTCAATACGTGGTAGAGCATAAGCATCTTTAATAGTAAGTGAATTTAGTTTACGATAATCGACGCAGAAACAAAGACCACCATCTTTTTTCTGAACAAGAACAACAGGTGAAGCATACAGCTTGAAGAAGAACGATTTACATTGGAATCCAGCATTTTTTGTATATGATCTTTAACTTCCTGGTACATTGACGGAGGTATTCTTCTATGACGTTGTTTAAATGGAATGTTATCAGAAAGATTGATCTTGTGTTTTACTAAGTCTGTCTTACCAATATCTGTGTCTGATGAACTGAACTGTCGAACTTAGCCTTCAGAAAAATTATTCTATAAATCATTTGTATGAATACTTCCTAATAAATCATTAAAACTTAGCCTTCAGAAAAATTATTCTATAAATCATTTGTATGAATACTTCCTAATAAATCATTAATACTATCAGTTCACGAATTGGAATGAACAATACCACTTGATGAAGCTGGCAAATAATGGATTTAGCTGGAATGGTAATAGGTGTTGAAGAGTCATTTTGCATTTTAACTTTAATACTTTGAGAAGAAATATCGAAATTATTACAGCGAACTAAACCAGGAACAATCTTTAAACTTGGATGTGAAGAATCATAATCTGTGGCCATATATTGTTTAGACGAAATTGGCTTAGGAAGATGTGAAGTACTAGAAGGTACAATAATAAATAAAACATCCATATGAATATCTGTAAAAGGGATCTGTACAGGTATTTCAATATATCCAAGGTAGTTGACCTTATGACCTCCAGCCGAACGAATATCTAATAAATCTTTCAAGGGAAACAATTCAAATGATGAAAAATGACGACGATATAAATTATCTTCTAAAGTTGAAACCATAGAACCAGTATCCAATAAAACTAAGCAATTAATTCCATTAATTAATAATGATGAAATGTTGGAATGACCAACTAAATCTGAAGAAATGGGACAATTGTTGATAACCATGGAGTTATCAACTGAAACGTTTTCAAGACCTACTGACTGTCCCTTTAAGTAGGCCTGTTGTAGTTTAAAGGACATGACATGTCTCCTCTTCTATGGCCAGGTTGTTGACAATCCCAACATAATAGGACTAGGATTAATTCTGGGTGGAAAGTCTTGTCTATGTTGCATTGTTGATGGAGAAGGAACTACAAATAAAAGGGGGTGGACGAAGAGGATTAAACTGAGGAAATGGATGTTGACGAACAAACTGAGATGAAGAAGATGGAATATTTTCAGCCCTGTGTGAATATGTTTGTCTCTGATCTATTTTAGATTCTAATTCTGATACTTTGGATTTAAAGCTACGAACCTCCTTTATTAATGAAGACATCTGATGATGAAGTTGTAAAAAATCACTGGTACTTTCGTTTGATGAATTCATATTTAAAGATCCCATAGATCTAGTACAATTACTTAACCCTTAACCGGTCAACGTCATTTTGACGTCATGTCCTCAACTGGTCAGGCTAAATAAAGGCTGACGTCAAATATTTTATATGCCTATTTCAAAGGACTACTGCCAGATAATTATAAGTGATAGACTCTTGACACCAATAAAAAAGTTGAAGGGGATAAGTTGATCTATAATTTGCACTATTTTTTTCACCTGATTTCAAAATGCAAATTCAGTTAATAATTAACGAAATTTTTCTCTTTTTTTTTCGTTTATTCTACTTCAAAAGGTGTTTTCTTTGCTGTGTTTATCATTATTTATGTTTCTTATCATTCTCTCTCTCATCTATTATCTATTTGAGGTAAAACAGACCCTGAGTGAAAAAGAATTCAAGACATGTGGGGTAGGGGGTGGGGCCATTTAAGAAGCGTTCAGGATACTTCCCACCGGGGTGGTACTTAAAAAAAAAAAAACACACATTATTCAGATCAGTACTTTTAAAATAAATTCAGTAGTAATGCATTTGACAATTCAATGTTCATTTCAATCACAAATAAAATAAATTTATAGATCAATAATGAATTTTATAGTCTTTTATTGTGCGATATCGTTCAAAACATGTATCAATGCACATAGCTTGATTTCAACGTTTACGGTTCAATAACGAATTTTATAGTCCTGCACTGTGTGATATCGTTCAAAACATTTATCAATGCACATAGGTTGATTACAACGTTTACAGTAAGTTTTCACTTGTTTTCGATTTCCAGTTTTCCTGTCCGAACAAACTATACAGTCAGGCTTATGGGTTTTATCTTCATAAAAGGCTGGGAAATGTGCCTCGGGTTTGTTGTAGTTGACCGATTGAATTTTCTCAGCAAGAAGACTTTTACTAACAGCTATGCGGTAATCTTTACTGTTAAGTTTTTTCGCAGGGAAAGCTAGATTGTAGGCCACTTTAGCATTAGCTAATGCAAATTCGGTACAAAAGTGCGAAATGACACGGTACGCCTTTCTTTTCTTATGGGGATACTTATAATACGACATTACTTGATCTAGTCGATCGACACCACCCATGTATTTGTTGTAGTCATTTATTAAAGATGGTTTATTAATTTCACGATATCCGCCTTCATAACTCTATGAACGAATTCTTTTCGAATAGTCGGAGTTGTCATGAACAGTAGATAAAGCTGACCCACGTTTTACATCTTGCCAAGCAACTGTCAACAATTTGTCATCTAATTCAAAAAAGCGTGGGGGGTCACCTTTCTTCATTTTGGCTTTGTAATCTGGTGTCTTTGGAAGATGTTTTCTATCGATACGTACAGTACCACATGCACCGTATCCAAGATTCAATAGTTCGAGATATAAATTTACAGACGAATAATAATTGTCCATGTAGATGTTGTGGCCTTCTGCAGGTAAGGGACGGATGAGATCGTTGTAATGAAGGAACGAATTGAGTAGGCGATACCGTCTTATAGGCATAACTTCGCTAAAAATAGGAGTTGACAGCAAAACATATTTAGACCAGTAGTCACGTAGGTCTGGTTTACGCGCAATACCCATTATCAACTGTAGACCAATGAACTCTTTAATTTCTGACGAGAAGGTTGGTTTCCAATGTTGAAAAATTGAACCAGTAGTAACATCACACGAACTGTCAAAAATTGTTCAGCATAACGGTTCGTTTCGGTTGCTATCATATCAAATATGTCTTCTGGAAAAAATTTGAAAAAGAAATCCACAGGCTGCATACCATCTGCATTAAATTTGATTCTAGGAGTAGGAGGGCCTGAATACACAAGAACTGAAGAAGGTGTCCACCTGTCATCATGAAGAAAATTCCAATCAAAGTCACTTGTATTGTGTTGATTTTCTTCTAAAACTTCATCATTTTCACTGTCGCTTTCGTTTTCTACGGCAACTGATTCGTCGAATACATTATTATTTTGACGAGGAAAATTATTGAAATCGGCAGCCTCACACAGTCTCTTGTTTCCTAAATCATTTTCATCAAAAATATCGTCTTCAGAATCGGTTTCATCGATATAATCCGAGTCGGAATCATTCATAAGAATTTCAACCACTTTGCCAGTCTTTAACCGTCTCGACATCGTTCAAAAATTACGTTTTTTGTCAAAAAATGTAGAACGAAGACATATTTTTCTCAATGTTATTGACAAGACAAGTTCCTGTCTGACACGCATGCGCGGCGATATCAATCAAATACGGAACTAAATAGTCAAATGCGACTCATAAAAATGGTTCATGCTGTGGTCGACTTTAGTCGACCGTGACCACTTAGCGGTATGACGTTGTGGTGACTATAGTCGACAATGACCGGTTAAGGGTTAAACTAGAAGAAGTCGATGTAGGAATAGGGAATTCTGTATGTGAAGAATCAGTTGCTGACTTCTCTTCTTCCACCCTTCTTACAGCATACATTAAATTAGAAAATGTGGCATTAGAATCAAGAACATGCCGTGTTGATACTTTCAAGTCATCGTGATATAAACCATTCCAAAACCGGTTCTTTAAGACATTTGATGCAGACGGTTCATTAAGAATTTTAGCTGATTTCAATTTATAAACAATATTCTGTAATCTACACGCCCATGAAGAAATACTTTCTGTAGCTGCCTGAGAAGTTGAATATAAACGGCTCATTAAACATTCATCTGAAAATATTTCACCAAAATATGGATCCAGAAAATATATAAGTTGCTCCACAGAATCAAACTTTACTGTAACTAGGCTCTGGCCGACAGTACCTCTCGCTGCACGACGAATAGAATTAATAATAGAAGTATCTGAATATATCCCTTCTGACTTTAATCCAATAATTTCTAATCTCCATTGTTCATAAGAAACATCCCCTTTATTAAAATCTCCGGAAAATGATGACAATCTAGGGGGAGGAATGTGAAATTGAAGAAGTCTGAAGTTGGGACTGAGAAATATTTGATGTTCTGTGGACTGGTTGTGAAAAATTAGAAATATGATCAGTAGAAGCAGTTGATCTTGGAATATGTGGATGAGACGTGCGGCGTTGTGGGATAACATAGGTAGTATCCAAAGATGGGGTAGAATGTGTAACAGGATTAAAAGCTAATGTTGGCTGTTGTGTTGATGAAGCCGTAGTTGGTTGACATGTATAATTATTATCAGGGCGTGGCACAAAAGAACCATTTGAAATAATTGACTGAAAAACCTATCTTTGAATTGCCGGATCAAATGTAAGAGTACCGTATTCTTAAATCTGTCCTATTTGTTAAAATTCTCGGCGAAATTAGTTATTTTTCTTCGCTCGCTGCGGGACGACCGGTCATTCCTCTTACATAATAATTGGCATCGTTGTAAAGCGGAGAATCTCTAGTTTACAAATATGATCAAATTAATGTCGATGAATTGATTTTGAACGGATACAATCGAGTTCTAAAACCCCCCAAAAATCTAAACCACCTCTGCTTGTTGCTGTGCTGTCTACACAACTCGTTCGCTGATTGGTCCAGACACCGAGTGAAAAGCATTATGGTTACGTGGCTGACTCGAGCGGGCGATAAATATTTGGTTTTGGCAATAATGTTTTTGGGTACCTACATGCGATTCACTCTCATAAGTGGCAGAAAAAAATTAATTCTGATCGTATATAGATTGCCGTTGAGTGTTAATCCAAACCACGTGGCTGATTATGTAAATTAATCGACACGCAGGTGGGTGTCATTGAGTAATACTAATCAACTGTCACAGGTCAATGATAAAGCCGTCGACAACTCCTTATTTACTACGAATAATAAATCCAAGCAGTGATTATCTGATATCTCATATCATCTTTAAAAAAATAATTTATAGGCCTTAAATGGAAATTAAAAAAATGGCCGATAATTTTCTTTCCGAAGAGAATTTGATTGATAAATGAATTCAGTTTACTGCCGCTTCTTCATACGGCATGCAAAGTAAGGAATGCATCTTGGATATTATTGTTTAAAATTCTCTTATCACCATGGGTCGAAAAAATGAGAACGACCAACGATCCGAATTGCGACGATTCTCGAGTCTGCCATTGTTTAATTACATCAAAGCCAGAATGCACGAAAGTGAACGTAAGTATTTCTTGACTATGAAACTAACATTTCTATAGGGACTCATATTTTAATACCATTACAGTACCTGAAAATCATTATAGACCTATCATACACGCAAAATCTCATTTTTAATTCACGTGTTAAATGAACACGCGTACAGCTGTGGCGGTTTTTTTGATGATTATCAAATCAACAATCTTAATCTCCTGACCACTAGCTGGCACTAGGGTGCTAATTAATTGATGAGATTAACTGTTAATCTCACCAACGTTATAATATACAAAACAGACTACTAATATATAGATTATTCTTCAGTATAATTAACACTATCATGTGAATATGCCGCATGTGTTATGGATGTTTCGTCACAAAAGGAGTGCATTTATTACGATTTTCGTCGTCAGCACCCTTGAAATCCTAAATAAAAAAAAATATTAAACGACAAAATAGCAAATAAATGTAGGAAGTCGTCGGATCAAATTTTTTACTACGATTTTCGTCTTCAGCACCCCTGAAAACCCATGGAAGATATATTCAACGACAAAACAGCAAATAAATGGCCAGGTTGCTATGGGATTTTGTTTTGGAACATACCAAATGTTTGACTTGCTTTTTCTCAAAACTTACGTTTGTGAGTTGGGTAGCTTTGAATGACCAAGCGATAGATAGCTGATCATGAGTGACATACTCCGGAATTATAAACTCTACGTCATACTCTATACAGTTAACTCTGATGTTGTCCACTTACGATGACCACCGAAAGAAAACTTGGAACTATCGTGACTGGTAGTTGTCACACATTAAAAATATTGTAAAAGATCATCATAAAAAGCATAAAGTATAATTTCTTTTAGCAGTAACTGACATGTAAGTAAAATAAATGACCAGAGCCACTTCTACAGACATGTTATAATTAAAACACTTAGTCTATACTGTGTTTTCAACACCGAGGCAATGCTATTGTGTTACTCGATATTCCCTCGGTAAATCAGGAAATCCAAGATTGAAAACACGGTAATACTATGTTTCATCAAACTATCGTGATGTCCATACTGTATTAAGCCATGTATATTTTGATCAATGTTCGTTGTCCACAATAAGGATTAGTTCCCTAAAATTATGCAATAGCAGTGACCGATAAGGACACTATTTCAAAAACTGAGCCTTTATCAGCATGTGTATGACGTACTAAATTATAACTGTAAATTTATTTATTTTATGAAATTCGACAATAGGAGGATGAACCCTACTGATTTTCCCGCCTATCTCTTGCAAAAGGTTTGAAATTGGAATTGTTTTAAAAAATTTGTTAATAATGTGTTCAAATGAAGTGTTATTTAATTTTTATGACTCTTTATTTTCTAGAATGTAGGAAACTTTGATTATGATCAGGCTAATGATTTTCCGTCCGGAGGTACTGGAGATTTCTATAATTATGATGTAAGTACACTAGTCTGGTTATCATTTTTATATGCATACATGGACAATGCTGGAAATAACTTTCGAATGTGTGTCTGACACCATGTCAGGCTGGATGAACATTCTGCCTGACATTAAAAATTTTTGGTCGGACATAATATTCTGACATTTGGGTTGGCACAATGTCTATCAAGATCTAATCTGTTGACTAATATCTTTTACGATCCACATGATGTGAGCCAGGGCAGTTTTGCTTAGTTTTCGTTTGTTCGACGAAATAAGTTTTGATTTGTCACTGATATAAAAAGGTTACCCATTAAATTGCCTCAAATGTCATGATACTTGGGGTAGATAAATGTGGGTCGGGAAATGCATAGTGCTATTTTATCTCAAGAATCAAACACGAACACAATGTTTAAGGAATAAATGATTGGGTCACGCTTCCTGCGGATTTAAAATACACACCACCCATTGAGAACTTAACTATTTGTTGTATGATTAAATAAAGTATGATTGAGACTTTGAATTATTGTTCATTACAATATAAATCCATAATTTCATTGGCACCCATCATCCGATGATATAGCTTCCCATCTTTGACAATGTTGGCCTAATCAC